GGCTGCCCGCCCGGCCCCCGCCCTGGGAAAGCTCGCTTTGTGCAGTTGCTGAGGTTGCTGGAATGCTCTGTGAGCACAAATGAAAGTTGTTCGGGCTTTTTTCACAATTTCCTCATCTTTTCATTTGCATTTTTTTTCTTTAACCCCGAAGAAAGTCAAGGAGGGAGGAGGACGTAAAAGTATTTCCCAGATGCAAATCAAAGCTGAAACAGTACCAACACATAACTCCCTCCTCTGCCTCATCAAAGGGCTATTTTTATTTTTCAAAGTAGTCCAGTCTACTGTAGTTAGAATCCATCCACTTAGCTACTTGCTCACCATTGAGGATGGATGAAGTGTTTTTGTTTTTTAAGAAAAGGAAAATTAAAAAAAAATCTAGGCCCATGAGTAGTGTCTCAGAATATAGGACCCTTAAAAGCCATGGTCTGGTGCTGGGAAGGTGGCTCTGTGGCAGAGTGCTTGCCTTGCAATGCATGAGGCCCTGGGTTCAATTCCACAGCACCACATAAGCAGGGGAAAAAAAGTCGGAAGTGGTGTTGTGGCTCAAGTGGTAGAGTGCTGCCCTACAGCTGAAGAGCCAAGGGACAGCGCCCAGAACCATTCAGGCCTCACAACTGACCAAAAAAAAAAAAAAGCCTTGGTCTGCTCAAGCCATCCTGTGTGGCTAGAAGGCTACAGACAGATCAGAAGACAGGGAAAGAAATCTTTGACATTGGGGTGGCTGTTCAGTTCATTCACTGCCAACAAATGTTTATCAAGAGCCTATTCTGTGTAGGGGAGATTGGGCAATGCCCTTGCCTGTCATGCAGCTTACCTTCCAGTAGACAAGTGAGCAGCTAACAAATTAGATGACAGAGTGGAGTAGACATAAGGAATGAAAGCATGGTGATGTCCCCATATAAACAAAACCCAGAGAAAGCCTCTGACAAAGTGAGTCTCCTTTTTTAAGAATGAAGAGAGTCAACCACATTCTGGGATCTTGGACCCACATGGAGGCAGATGATAAAGGGTATCAACCCCAAGAGGCTCTTAGGAGTTACAGGTTAATGGATGAGGAAGTGCTCATCCACAGAAAAGCCAGGAGTAAAGTAGGAGATGCTTATCTCTGGATTGGCCCAGCTGAACCAGCTCTGTGCCTCCAGGGAGAGGCTCATCGATGATCCTCAGAGGGATGTGCTTAGTCATATAAAGGTAGTTCATAAGGGAATGCTCACAAACACTCTTCTCTGGCAGAATAAAGTGCCAGAATAAACTCACTTCAAGAGTCATTAGTTTAAAAGATAATAATGAAGCTAGGAGCCAGTGGCTCACACCTGTAATCCTAGCTATTCAGGAGGCTGAGATCCGAGAATCAAAACTTCAAAGCCAGTCTGGCCAAGGAAAGGCCAGACTGTAAGAGTTATCTCCAATTAACCACCAGAAAACCAGAAGTGGCACTGTGGCTCAAATGGTAGAGTGTTCCCCTTGAGCTGAAGAGCTGAGGGACAGCACCCAGGCCCAGAGTTCAAGCCCCAACTGACACCCCCCCAAAAAAAATAATGAGGCACTCAATAAATAGGAGTAGTTTCTTGTCATGAATACTTTAAAAGTTTGATTTTAGGACACTTGGAGTATGAAACTCTGGGGAATGGACAGATGGAATTAGCAGGCAGCTGGAAATCCATACCTGGAGGTCATTCATTCATATGGTTGTAAAATTGTGTGTGTGTGTAAGTATGAGCCACCCAAGAGGAATCCCTACCTCTGCCTGAAAAGTTCTGTAACTTGGAAGAAAAATGGACCCTACTTGGCTTGGACTAATTAAGCTTTCCGAGTCTCAGTAATCCTGTGTTCCCCCACAGAGCACTGAAAAAATTACACTGAAAACTCAGACTTCCTTCTATTCCAAAAAGGTTTTCCGTCCTCTAGGCTGGAAATAAATTCAGACTTGAGATGTTTTGCCTTTATTCTAGCCTTCCCTTGATTCCAAGTTGTTATCTCGTTGAGCTGGTAGCTCTCCTGTCATCTAGAACTGGCAAATAGTTAGCAAATAAGAACTGGTATTAAAGGCCTTTAGTTGTTGTATAATTGCCTTAATTCTGGGAGGCCTTCAGCTCCAGAATGTTCTCTCCTAAACACAGTGGTTATCACTGGGGCTAGGTGCTGTCACTTATAAAATGAAGAGGCAGATAGGTCAAAATGATGACACAGCCCTCCCAGCTGCAAATGACGGCTGTATACACTCAGCTCCGTGGATGTAAAGAATAAAGATTATTGCAACAGGCAATAATGACTGCTAACTGCAATGGTAAATAGTGAGTTTTGAGGGGTTTTTTTTGGGGGGGGGCCCTGCCAGTCCTGGAGCTTGAACTGAAGGCCTAGGTACTATCCCTTAGCCTTTTATTTTTGCTAAAGGCTGGTGCTCTACCACTTGAACCACAGTTCTACTTCCAGCTATTTGGTGCTTATTTGAAAATAAGAGTCTCACAGGCTTTCCTGTCCCAGCTGGCTTCAAACCACAGTGATCCTCAGATCTCAGTTTCCTGAGTAGCTAGAATTATAGGAGTGGGCCACCAGCACCCAGCTGAGATTTCTTTCTTCATTGAATCCACCAGAGCTCAAACTGCTGCCATCAATTCTGTTTCAGTTTCATTGGAAGATTATGTTATGTATCTGCTCCTTCCCCCTCCTCCTCAGGCCATGAAAGGAATATTGAAACAATGAGAGATATTGTACTCTGGTAAGTGTATACCCCTCCGACTGGTCTGCAATTAGAATTTCAAAGGTTCACACCTCAGCCCGCCATTTCTGGGGTTCATGGGCCATAATCCTCTTTAAATTTGAAACCATGTCTTAGTGGAAACCATCTGTACCTCTCATTTCTCTAAAAAGAAACACAAAAAACCATTCCTGGATATCTAGAAGCAAATAGAGTCTGACGTGAGTAAAACTTAAATGCTGTATTTCTTTGCATGAAGCTGCCCAGAAATATACACCATCCTTTTCAAAGCCAGGAAAAACATACATGCATATGTCCTTAGGCTTGTATGCACCCAGCTTTATATAAATCAGGCATCATCTTCGTTGTTATCATTAGACTCCCCTTCAAAGACTGTTCACCCTTGCTCCTCTCATGCTGTTGAGCTTTGTCCACAGGGACAAGACAGTGATCCTGGCAGAATGCTTCTTTGTGTCCTTAAATAGAGGCAACCAGAGTAATGGTGGCTGGATAGCAATGGCATTAGCGACCTTGTTGTCATTGGGGAATTGGCTCTGAATCCCATTTCCAGTTATAGACCTCACTCTCCCATATGCTCTATAACCAAGGGGGCACATGTGCAAGATGATTGACAATGGACCTGGGGTAGGGAAGCAAAGAGATTCTTCAGACCCAAGAAATCAGGAAGAGCCATGCATGCTCTGTACCACAGTGATAGTCAGCAAGAACACACAGCAAAATCCTCTCATTTAACTGAGCCGTGAGGAGAAAGACAGGAAGAAATGTTTCATGCTGCGTGAAACTGGGTTTGAATCTACTCTGTCACTTGCTAGCCTTGTTTCTTCATCTGCAAAATTAAGGTAATGGTCATAGTAAAGCTATGTTCAGATTGTTACGTGAAACGACATGAGATGATAGGGACAAAAACGTTGATGCATAGTGAATAAGCAGTCATTGTGAATTCCTCTGAACTCCTTTCTTCTGTGAAGTATGACTATAAATACATCTCCTTTCATCTCACAATTCAGCTATCTCTAAATTAGTCACCTGCAGGAAGAAGAAGAAAGGGAAGGGAAGACTGCACAGTAAAGCAATTTGCAGAGTCTGGGATCTGGGATATGGGAATCAATTGTCTTTGGAGACCTTGTTTATTCCCTTAAGTATACTTTGTGAGGTCAGATCCATTAGTGATGGTTTTAGATTTGGGAAATAAATAAACAGTACTTAGAATCAAATAGGATAGATTCCAATCAGGATCAGAAGTGAGTTGAAATCATAAAATAAAGCCCCATTTAAAAAAATAAAACATAGCTCTTATGAGGAAGGCTATTCTAAGCCAGGCATTTATTGTACAGGAACTTGAGTTTATGGGCTGTTCTCAAATTAGAACTCCTTGGCTCAATTCTCTGCTGCACAGAATTTCACCTAATTCATTTTCATAAGTCTCAGTTTTCACATCTATAAAAGGGGGGCAGTGATCAATCATTCCTGGTGGCTTATGCCTATAATCAGGAGGCTGAGATCTGAGGATCATGGTGTAAAGCCAGCCTGGACAGGAAAGTGTGAGCTTCTTTTTTGGGGGGGCGGGGATCCAGTCGTGGGG